AAAGATGTTATATTAGAATCAGAATTTTTTTTAGTTTATTTAATGAAAATTAATTGTATTGGTATTAGGTATTGAAAAAATAAATTAATATGAGGATAACTTATTAAAAAAGTAGTTTAAAAGTTTTTTTTTKGATAGGGGCGGCAAATTTAATTTGGCATGGGGGCGGAAAATTGTTAAATCCGCCCCTGTCGACAGTCACCATCAACAGGAGCGAACTCACCAAATACACTTATTAACAGCCATCTACATTAGTAGGTAAAGTATTGTTTTTAATATAATGATATTAATATGGATCTAGAAACCAAACGTGTCTTATTGTTGATAAAATACCTCATACACAGTGCTCTAACCCCCAGCTACGGAAAACTTATCCATAAGGAATAGAAAACCTTCCCTGGATAACTATAATATCGTAACAAGGTCCCCCGACCACGTTGYAAGATTATACATTTTTAACTTCTTTAGGAATTTGAATTTTATTTTGTCTGATTGAAAAGATACTATATTTTATAAAACTAATCAGTGTGACGATCGTGTTTCTCAATTGATTGAATAAATTGAATGTTTTTCAATGATTTTTTCGTTTTTAAAAAAGTTTGCTAAAAATCCTATAAGACTTAGTATTTCGGTAAACAAATATCTCCTAACTCTCGTATTTGGCGTGCTCGAAAGGTTAGTGAATAGTGGGATACCCAGTTCGGACTGTTTGGGGTCTGCTATTACTTTCCTACCACGCGAAAAAAAACTGTTTCTATGTATAATAGAAAAAAAATACGGGGCCTACCGTTAATATTAATAAGCATCATGTATGATATCACTTTTAGTTTGTATTTTATGAAGTAGGAAAACGTGGTATATAATATATATGACTCACCAATTCTTTTCAGGCATCCCTCCACTGGAAGTAAGTTTGTGCTTTTTTTTTTTTTTTTATCAGAAATAAGGCTTCGACATCGCCGGTCATTGGCCTGGAGTAGGTTTACAGTGTAACTGATAAGTAAAGTTGGTACAGAAGAAAGAAAAAAAAAAGAAAGGTTAATTACAATTTTTACAAATTTTAGGGACTTAAAATACGGAGCAGGATTTATACAATGTTAAAAATTATTAATAAGGTTAGTATTAGTTAGAAATAAGATAATTTTATTGATATTTTTTTGATTAAGGGCTTCTTCAATATTCTGTGGTATTCCCAGGTGGTTTCGTATGTGGCGGTATTTTGAGCAATGTAAAATTATGTGTTGGACAGTGAGGTCAGCGTGGCATTCATCGCAGGTGGGTGGGGGACTTTTGTTGATGAGGTAGGAATGAGTAGAGAATGTGTRCCCGATTTTACATCTAGTGATTGCGACTTCTTGTCGTCTGTTAAGGTGATAAGGTGAGTTCCATTTATTTGTATCCCTTTTTGTTGTCTTGAGTTTATTGGTGGGGGGAACGGTATCCCAAAAATGTTGCCATTTAGAATATATTTTAAGTTTGATTGATGATTGTATGTCGTTGATCGGTAAGTTTATACTTGTTTCCTATACAACACAAAAAATATTATTGTTTGTTGACCTTTGAATAGAGCTTCATCATATAATCTTTTCTAAGCAGTTTTTGCAAATTAAATTGAATATAATATTTACTAAATATATATATATATAGGTATATATGTAAGACTTATCGCGTAAGATAAATAATAATATAATATTTATGTATGCTGCAGGTACGCAGATATGCTTCAAATTCACTACCATGATGGAAAATAGAGATGTTATAATGTGTATAAGTACCGGATTACCCCTCTATTATAATTTATCATCTATACTTACTATAATATTATAAAACTGAAAAGTTAAAAAGGTTTTAACGCGCTAGTCTCAGGAACTACTGATACGAATTAAAATTTTTTTTTTTTGTTAATGTCCATTTATAGAGAAAGGCTACAGGCTAAATAATATTTTAAGAAAGTCCACAGGTTAGGGAAATTCCGTTAGAAATTAATTTTGGTATGGGTATAATATATAAATATATATTTTTTTGTTTATTATAGCAGGGTTACTATTGATTATACAATTTAGTGTGGACGAATAAGATATTAGCAATTTGTTATTAGGTATTAATTTAAAAAAATGTTTTTCCTTCATAAAGCTAAAATTTCCAGAAAATATTTTAATTGAATATAATTTTAGTTCTATAAGATTAATATAGGGTAAATCCACGGGAATTTGTCACGGGAAGTTTTGAATATGACTATTCGGGTAATATAAACGACGAATTAAACACACATTTTGAATCATATAGAGTTAGTATTTTTAACGGGCAACGAAGTGCACAGGGATCAGCTAAATAGTTTTATACGTACATAGGTATATAAAATAGCAATTTAGGCAAATAGCCGTGGGAAGCAAAGACAATGATAGTACTATAGTATAATAGGTTAGTAGGTACCTAATAGTATTTAATAAGTACTATATATGTCTATATCTATATATAGTCCAGTTACTATAAATATTTGAAACCATTTGCACATTCGCGGACTAGTTCCACTGTTCGATTGTAATTTGCATTTTGACAAAGTCGCAAATCGCAAGGGGGCTAAGGGGGCTTAGCCCCCCCCCAAGTCATAATTATCCCTCGCACTAATTAATATTAGTCTTATAAGATATAATATACTTATATGTACTTTCTTATAAATATCATTAAAACTTTGAGTTAAATTTTAAGATACTAATAACAACTGTGGTTTAATATTACCTACCCACGGATTTTTTTCAATGTAAAATAGTCGGGGCTATTATAGTCGGGGCTAAGCCCCCCTCCACCAATTGAACCAATTTGTGCCTATGCATTTTGAGGACAAAAGTTTGTTTTTTATATTGTGTTACAGCCAATGTAGAAAATCAAGACATTTTTTATATTGCCTAGGCATTTTTTGGTCGATTTGAATAATTGATGCAGTTATATTTTCCGGGCATTGTATAGAATAACCAATTTATCACGGGAAATATGAACTTTATATATTTTTATTTCTTATTTAGTGTTTACTAAAATAAGCTTTGATTAAAATTACGGGCCATAATAAAATATTACGTTAAGGTGAGTGGCAAGAACATTTTTAAACTTGTGTGGTCAAGGATATTATGATCGATGTTGTCATGTTGATATTTACAAAAATGCAAAGCTGCTGGACGACTTTTTACACCAAAATGCTAGTTATATGCCAGCTACCCGTATGTTCTAATCATAAATAATAATTCAAAAATACTAAACCATTCTTTATTTTTTAAATTTTTAACTAAAAACGAATGAGTATAGGTATATTACAATTATTAAATTTATAGTTATATCTTATACCTTTACTCAAAATATAACTGCATAATATTTGCAGTATATAATATAGTATATTATTGCCTACTACATTTTGGACATTGTAAATGACCGGCCACGCGCCCATATACTCTTGTGATAATTTTTACATTTATTTAATTTATTTAATTGCTCGTCTACATTAAGCATTTTATACATTTTCCGAATATTTTATAAAAAGTATTTTATTTTACCCGTAACATAATAGATATTATATTATAAACTGAGAAAACAAGCCAGCTCTTGACAAATGTATATTTACAATATTTCTAAGGCAATAATACATTAACATGGCTCTACTACTCTAGAGGGTTAAGCCATACATAATACATTATAATTTATATTTTATAATTCATAATATTTAGGAACCTACAACAGACGATATGTATATAATATGTAATATATTATATAGGTACACCATAACATTATTTGCACGGGCATTCCATGGTTCCATCATGCTTTTGACCGGACAACACGCATAGGTAATACTACTATTATAATATAGTTTTTCATTAGATTTTGTTTTTGTTAAATCTGACGCAAAACCACGACTTCTCACGGACGTATTTTACTAGGTAACCAGTATCACTCATGATATTATTATGTTTTTACTCCAATCGCCTATAAACATGTTTTGTGCTGCGGACTGCGGAGTGATACGTAAATACCTACGCGGTTATTAGTTATTACTGTACGTCTGTACACGCACGCAAACGCGTACAATATATAATAATGTATTAAATATAATACTTCATAATTTTGTCGCTCCGAGTGTTCATAATATACCTATTATTATGTACCACTTATTATTATTACAGGTAATCGTCGCCCGCCATCGTCCACGAATCACGAGGGGTTCGTCCGATGAACATTCTACTATCTTCACGCGAGGCTCGTCTCCCGTTAACCGGATCGCGATCGCGAACGAGTCGAGGCCGGACGGCAATACATTCAATGCAGCAGCTGCCTCGTTGCAGTCTGCTGGGGATAAGCGATCGACGGTACGGCAAAACGGCATAGACCGAGCTATAAAGTGGGGTCGGCAGAATGATTGAGGGAGCTAGTGTGAGACGGCAAAAGCGAGTTGTGTTGGACGGGCGAAAAACAGAAAGAAACGAGTAACGACAAAGACGGAAAATACGGTTATCGCAGACCCGGTAACGGGTGTTACGTAATGGTTACTGCATGGTTAGTGTTCCGTCATCCTGCTGCGGCCGCTTATGCCGTCGCCGACAGGCCAGGATGAAATAATAATAATAATAATAATAATAATAATAATAATCAAACCTCGGAGAGTTTGTTGATCTCCGGAGCGCGCGCGCGGCTCGGTCTCGGCCTCGCTGCCCTTCACCCTCGCAACACCGCTTCCACCGCCCCACCCGTTGCCATCCCGAACAGCCGCCGCCACCGACGGCGACACACGCACACGCGCGCACACGTACACCCGTGTCCGTAGTAGTAGTAGCAAATACGTAGTAGTAGTAGTAGTAGTAGTTGCCGTCGACCTCAACGCGCGTCGTCGACATCCGAGAACGGAACACACGGGACGACATCGCGCGCCGCGGTCGACCGTGATCGGACCACGCCGCCGAGTTCCCCCGACCCGCACCGATTGCACCTTTGTTGTGTATCCGTGTGCGTGCGTGCGAACGTACTTGCATCGCATGCACCGCATAGACGCAGCAGCCGCCGYCGAGCACGTAAACACAAGAAATGCGTACTTCTCCGACGGGTTAGACGCGTGTGTGTGCGTGCGTACGTGTGAGTGAGGGAGCCAAAGTGTATGTATGAGTGAACGAGCTAGTGTACGTGTGAGTGAGCGACCGTGTGTTCGCGCGTGCCAGTGTGAGTGCGCGTGAATGCAATTCGGTGAGGCGATCGCGATCGTATAGTTTGTGACGGTCCATACATGTAGTAGGCAGGCATATAAGCGGCAGTATAGTAAGTACACCACTGTATCGGACGGCAAAATGGCTGGAGAAGTGCGTTTCCGATTGACCGACAACCGTAAGTTTTAAGAAAGATACGACAATGTTTATTATTATGGTTACCTATGTTATATTATTGTTATTTTTGTGCACACGATATAATAACATCGTCTGTATAACGTAAGCTTAGATATAATATTATGGTATTTGATGTACGCATTTTCTTTATTCCGGCTCATATACTTTTCACGTACCGCGCGCGAGAACACCCTCTCGTCAGAGCGTGTCATCTATTATTATTATTATTATTATTATTATTGTTATTATTGTTATTATTATTGTTTTGCTTGTGTATGTTATGGATTACAACTCACACTCATGCAATGATTAACAATAACGATAATACGTAATAATATAATATAAATTTATATTTGTATTCATGTTATAATACGAGTTTATTAGGCATATCCATGCTCAGTTGTTTTGTTATTGGGTTTTCATTGGAGTATGATATGTATTTCGTGTTTAACAGTCACAATTTTTCAAAGAATAAAATATCATATATTTTTTATTTTTTAGATGATATTAAAATTAAATATCTACTCACTTGTAATAAAACTTCTATACATAAACATTATAGTCTTATAAATATTGGTAACTACCTCATAACTATAGTTTAAATAACTACCTATATGAATGTATACAATTTTTGAATACTAGGTATTTTATCATATTTTTGTAAAAAATTAAATAATGTTACTCATTATATTAACTTTATTCACCTATTTTTAAAGTAATAAATACATAAATATAAACAAAGGAATTTATTGTCATGAAGATATTATTTTAAGAATATTATTAATTTATTTTACAACCAATAATTTTTGTGTTTAATGTACTTCAGATAGTTACGTTTTAAGAAAGGATCTAATTATACTATTGTATTTGTTTTCTCTCTGATTCACGCTGAACATTTGTTTGCCAAAAAGATTCATGCAATATCAATTATTTTATGGTTATTACAAGTTTTAGAGGAAAGTCACCTATTACAAAATCTGTTGATAAAAAAGTTTTCTAGGGTTTGATGTATTGTTTTTGTGTTTTATTTAAACAATATACATAATGAAATGAATATTATATTTTTTGAGACTATTTACTCAAAATAATGTCAAACCCTCACGAATATTATTATTCATAATTTTTCTAATAATTTCACTCTAAAATTTATCTAAAACAATAAACAATGATATGTTTTGTCTAGTGTGAGGTTCAGAGAGAAAAAACAATTAGTGCTGTTGGCATATTCTTAAATTACTTTTTCATGTATTTTTATTAAAAAATATTGAGAATGACCAATATTTAAAAACTTATTAATTTAAATATTTTATGCAGCTAAAGTTACTACTTATAATTTATAATGAATTTTATACAGTTAACAGTTATATTTTGATTTTGATATCACGTAAAGTCTGATAAATATAAAAATAATTACTAATTAGTATATAATTAGAAACATTTTAATATCATAGAATATATTAGATATAATATAACTAGTATTTTTAAGAGTATTACTATTTAAACATTTTAATAAATATTTAATTTTACATCTGCTTTTGCAGTTATAAGCCACTGATATAATTGTGGTTATTAATTGAATATAATTAGAAGATGTTAGTAAAAGTATTGTTTTATTCACATTTTATACTATATTTTATTTATTTTTATCTGGTATCTGTTAAAACAGTTTCACTCAAATGCAGAACATGCACATTTAATCCTCTATTGACTCTTTGTATAAAATTAGTAGTTGCTTAGTACCGCGGTTGAGCTATGAATGTGAAAATGAAGTATAAAGAAGTGTGAAAATATTTATATCTCTGGGTGGGTATCATATACTTCAACCAGAACTTCAATTTAAATTCATGATTAATCATAGGTAGCTTGAAAATATTGTTTTAGTGCTGTTTAAATTTAAATAACATTAATAGGTACAATATTAAATAATTATTTAATTGGTTTAGAAATGTATCTATGTAGTGATTATTATATTTTTGTATCTGTATCAAGAGGATGTCAGCTCAATATTTGATTTTTCTCATCCCCTTTTTTGTAATCCTAGAGTAAAATTATAGAGGATCATAWTTTTGAGGGTATTTACCTACTTATCAGTTTTATATTATATTACTATTTGACTCTGTATTTGACTTTGAAAATAAAAGATGTTTTGTAAATATAAATGATGTTTAAATTGTTTTTAAAGAGATAGTATTTAGACAAATCAATATGCCATACCCTCTAAAATATTATTCACTATCGTTTAGTAATGGGTGATTTTACTCTAAAGTTATTTAAAAACATAAAAAAAAAATKATTCCATGTAAATGATTTTTGTCTATGTTTCGCATAARCTAGAGAAAGAAAATAAACATTGTGCTGGCATCCTCTTAATGATTACAACTAATTTGGTTTATAAAACTATTTTAGTACCTAAAGCATTTTATTTATCTTTATCTAAAACACCTTAATATTAAATTCATAATCTAATGTATTTGCATTTTTTTTTTTATAGTGGATCCACTTCAGACATTGGATATTTGCCATGAGATTGTCAACATGACGTTTTGTTCATCAGACAGGCCTTTTACCTTAAAAAAATGTTCAAAGAAAAGATGTGTTGATAGGTATGATAGCTCCGAAAGTTCAGACAGGTGTGTAACTCATGTACAACTATTTTAGTTTTGTTAGTTTAAAATTTAAATGAAATATGAATATTGTACACTTAACTGTTATGGTGTTATATCATTACAGAAGTTTAGAAACTTTGAATACAAAAATAATTGATTAGGTATTATAAAGTTAACATTTGGTATAATAATAGGTTCTTATATAATATCTATCTAATGTTCAAAAGATTAATTTTTTTAGAATATATGAAATATAATAAGAAAATAATATAARTAAAAGTTATATATATTATATTATTTAATAACCCGTTTAATAATATTCATTCTTTCCTTACTTTTATAATATTATTAAATATATTTTGAGCTCTAATGACGTTGTTAGAGCAACTGAGAATATTATATGTAATATATTCAATMAATATTAAACAGATTATATTAATATTAATTTATGTGATACATATTCAGTGCTGTGTTAACTTTTATTGATGCCAAAGGCTGTAATATTTGATATCCCTTCTTACAATGTAACATAAAATGTATGATACATTATACATTTCTTTGAAATTTCAATTTTAATCTTAAGAGAAAGCTACATGCACCGTCTTTGTATTACAAATGCGTAACATAACAAATTGTTTGTTTACTCTGAATAATCTATTTTACTTTGTTATGATTTGATATTGGAGTGAATTGAGGTGTACACCCTCTTAAGAAAAAGTTTCTAAAAATACCAGCGGATCATAATATTGAATCAATAACCAAAGAACTAAAGACACAAATTTCAGGGGGCTAAGAGGGAGTAACCCCTAGACATCACATTAGCCCCCACCTAAAAAATAAATAATTTTTATACACTTTTTTAGTCGTGTCGGATCGAACCCATAACAGGGGTTTCACACTGACTTTAAAAATATTAGTCCTCCCCCTCCCTGTAATTTTAGTGGATATTGTCCTGTACAAAGAACTAATGGAAATTGTTTAAAACTGTTGAGTATATAATGATCAGCAAATAACAGGTCCCTAATTATTAGGTTGATTATTTCAAATATTTAGTAGATTTATTTTTAATTATTGTACCAACATTATTATGTATTTTATTATGATACTTGTTATAGAGCTTACATAAAAATTATAGGTACCAAATAAAAAATGCAAACCTATTTTTAAGTAAATAGATAATAATTCTAGGTTTCAGTTAGATTTTAAAATAAAATGTATTACATTAGCATATATATTAATAATGATTGTGTATTATTTGAAAAATACAAATTTTTATTTTTCAATTGAATATTGTCATAGGGGTTTTTATAAGTATCCCTTAATTCAGCGGTATTAGTAAAAATGTCCCACCTCCTTATAATAAATCAATTCACGTGACTTAAGTAATACTGGGAATTAAGAAGGTAATTAAAAATTTTATTTTACACATAATTTTATACATGCAAAATCGTTATTCCTTTAAGTAATTCATAATTTTTATATTTTTTTGAACAGCAAATTTTTCATTTTTACCATTTGTTTGTTCATATTTATTTATTATTTTTATATAATAATAGTTATTGAATGTTATTTGAAAAATTACATTTCACCTTGAAAATTCTGTAATTTCTATAATCATGTAATTACCTTAATTTTAAATGCAGTATATTGTTTATGTTTATGGCAGTTATAGGAATATCCTTTGGAAAAATGAACTTTTCAACTTCTAGTATATGGTTTTTAAAATGAACTAGTTTAATTTCAAGTTCATAAAATTTAACTAGTGGATACTTGACAGTAAATATATTGTTGAA